CTCCCGCCCCAGCACTTGGCATGGGTTGCTGCCTTTCACTCCAGAAGGTGCTGAGATACCTGGTCCTCCAGTTCCTTTGGATATCCGAATGTTAACATGGGAGTAGGAGGATGGGAGAGCAGGGGAGAGGAGGGTAGGAGAGTTGGTGCTTCCACGGGTGTCCTCCTGCTGTGCCAGCCCCTGGCTGCCCCATCACAGTGCTGCCTTTTCTCAGCAATAATGTGCCTGCTTTTTTCCCTCTTGCTTGAAATGCACTTTGACATTTTTAACAAATAACACAATTTTCCCTTTGTGTTTCCCTTAATAAAACACAGAAATGAGAGCAAGAAAAGGAAAGTAAAAAAACATGTTCCTGTCATCTCCACTCTGTGGCAGGATGTCCTTCTCCCTCTCTTTCTGCCTCCCGCTCACCATCCTGGGTCCCTTCCTTCCCTCCTCACTCCTCTCCTCAAACCTCAGCCACAAACAGGCTAATAGTTTTGCTTCAGATTTTTTTAACCAAAGCAAGCACAGCTCCACCACACCTCTGCCTGCTTCAATCTCATCTTCCACAGATGGCTACTTGACTGAAGACAGATGATGGGAGAGAACTGGAGCATGAGTCGGGGCCCCTCCCACCTGAGGAGGCCAGGTTACAAGGTGCCTGTAGTACTCCCTCCAGCCCCCCTGGGGACCCCACCGCTACTCTTCCTTCATTGACCTTTTGCTTGTTTTCCTCCCATGATGGTGACTTCCAGACCAACCTGGCAAGATTCCCACATTTCAGTTCCTGAATTTCTTGGAATCTGCTTGAAGTTGCAAGATTCCTGATGTTTGCAGCAGCTGCCTATCTCGTAGCAGGGATAAGTGTACGTTTTCAACCTTGGGTCCAAACACCAACTGTACGATTGCAAATGGGGGAAGATGTGGCCTACCACAGCAGCCTCTGGGGAAAAGGACTGAGGGGGTTCTGTTCATCACACAGACAGTGTGAGGCAACAGCAGTCACTGAAAATGCTAACGTAAAACCAAGCCTCATGAACGGGCGTTTTATGGCCAGCAGGAGAGGGCTCTCTGAACACAGTGCTATTGGCAAGTTGCAGTAAATCTGGGTGCTATATGGAAACACTGGAGTAGGTTCAGAGAGCAGGAGATGGACTGAAGAGAATAGAGCTGCCCACACCTGACAGGTCTCAGAAGTAGGATTTGACACTTTGAATGACCAGCCGAAGAATCAATAGGTGTGAGGGGCAGCTCCAGGAAAATGAAGTCTGACCCCAAACAAAAGACCTCATCGGATCATGTGCTTTAAAGGTCCAACACTAAAAGTCTGCAAATTTGGGGTCTTTTCTGAATCCAGTTTACCTCACTTTGACTCATTCTCAGAAAGAAAATTATTTTTTTTCTGATAAGAAGGACATGGCTTCTTCATAAAGATCTGGACAGTGTGTTCTGTAGCATCTTTCAGTAGGAGAGGAAATAATCGTGTTTGAGTTTAAAATGAAAAGCCACGAGGCGTGATGAGGCTGCTCTTAGATGGAGAGGTCTGTCCACCCACCCCTGTGACCACGGCCAAAGTAAAATGACACTGGGGTAAAGGTGGAGTTCACGATCCTCCATGCACTGGAAGAGGTAGAATAAATCAAAAAAGAGAAAACTCCAAATATTAAGTTGTACTCTTATCAGTCAGACACATCAATCAGTCCAAACCTAGACAAAATCCAAGAAGGAGCCTGGGTTCAACTGCCCACTCACATTTCAAAGTCTATCTGACATCACACACCTAGACTTTGAGCCCCTTATAGGACACACAGCATGGCCCCTTTATTTCAGAAAGGAAGTACTAACGCCCCAGGGTGATTCAGATTCAGCAGAGTTGGGGATGGAACTGAGGTTGTACTTTCTTCTGCACACAGGGCTCCCCTGAGTGGCACGAGGGCCACTCATGCCTTGGCAAAGTAAATGGTCTTTATTAATCACATACTTGTGCCTGGATCTGCACCAGGGACCACAGGGCTTATAAAATGACTGCGAGACACGTCTTACTGGTGCCCCAAAGTCAGCTGGAGAGTCATTTCCGTCAAACACTTGTGTCACTGACATGAATCAGACTGCCTTCAGCTGCAAAGACAGCTTGGAAGATTTGGATACCAGATCAGATGAGAATCTGTCCACTTGCAGGATATTCTCTAAAAGGAACATTCTTAAAACTAGTAAAACACATTTCATAAATTCAGCACCTTTAGTGAAACCAAAGCATGTCTGAGCATTTAAAAATATTCCTATGCTCACATCTGCCCTTTTCTCATTTTGTCCTCACCTCTATTTTATGTATTAGCATAAGAATACTTGTAACTTATATTTTTTACACCTGGCTCTTCTCAGAGCAGAAAGGACAAAGGACAGGTGTCAGGAGACATGCCACTAGCCATGTCTAAGCAACATCAGCGAAATCTCCTGGGCCTGCTAAGCCCCAAAGATTCATCCGAAACAATGGATAAAACTATTTGTTCTGCCTACCTCGCAGGTTTGTTGTAAAGATCAAGCAGAAACCAGGTATGTGGAAACAGCCTGAAAAGTATAAAGCAGCATTCAAATGTAAAGTATTAAACTCTTTGCCCTTTTCCCTCTCTCTCTGAAGTCATTTTCAGTGTTTGGTTTGTGCCTCCTGGCAGCGAGCACTTATAATGGCTAGTGGGGTCGTTTGTCCTTAACGATGGAGCAAGTTGCGGCCAGCACTTTGTCTTTTAAAAACAGGGAGGAGTGCTGCCCTCTGCGTGCTGTGTGGCATCTCGAGCCTTAGGTTCACCTGGTCAAAGCGCCTGGTAATTCCAATTCAGTCCTGACGTACAGAAACTGAGGGGCCCTCAGAGAATCCCCTTGAACTGGTTCTTCCTGGGGTGCTCAGGTGTGCTCTGCGGTTGCCCTATTTTCTTCCTCGGTAGTATTGGGAGGGTAAACTGTCTCCACCTCATCGGGCTTTTGAAAAGACCAAATGGGTTAACTATGTAACCAAGTCTGACAAAAAATAAATGTTCCATAAACGTTACCCAGTGTTATGATTTATTTATTGAACGTGCACTTAGGGTCAAGCACCGTGCTAACCTCCTTCCATATACAGCGCATAAAGACCCAGTTCCTGCTCCCGGAGTGGCTAATAGTCTAACCTCGTATGCTAGGGCTAGGAGGGGTGATGAGTTAACATTTCCGATAGATCCTCTCTGCTCCCCTACGAACCCCTCTCGCTGACTTCCTGCTCAATGTCCCGCGGTCTCTCCGTCCGGGCTCAGCTCCCACCTCGTCTCCATTAGGAGCCTGCTCCGAGCAGTGGCCCTGGGTCGTCTGGCATTTGCACACACTGTCCGCGAACGGGTATCGACCCGGAGTGGTGAACCGGTTTCCAGCCCAACCGAATTGGGAACTTGCGGGAGTCCGCTGTGACCAAGAAGGGATCTGAGGAGCTCAGAACTGCGGGGTCCGCAACCACACGCAGCAATTAGTTTCTGGGCGCTTCCTGCGGCAGGGGTGCAGGCTGCGGCGCTCTTTTTGTCACTGGCGGCAGTGCGAGAGTGGCAAGAGAACTGCGTGCGAGAGCCGCGGTCCAGGTGGCGCGGAGATTTCCGCGGAGATCCGGCGGGGGCGCGAGGGCGCGAGAGGCCACCGGCCAGTGCGCCCTGAGGCAGTAGTTCCACTTGGCGGGGAGGAAACTTGGCTGGCCCGAGGGGTCGCCGCGGCGGAGGGCGCACCCGGCCCTGGCCTCGAGGTGGGCCGCACAGCAGGGCCGGGAAAGGCAGCCCCGCGGCCCCTCGCGGATCGCGCTCCCAGCCCCCGCCCGACGCACTCCACCCTCTTCCCTTCGCCGCGCAAGCAGCGCGGCAGACCCTGTTGGGAAAGGCCGGATCCGCCCGGCCAGGCAGGGCCCGACTTGCATCCAGGACCGCGGGCCTCCGTCTTCCCTTCTCGCCAGGGAGAAGCAGCTGGCCCTCCAGTTTCCCAGAGGAGCGGCGCGGGCGGGCAGGACGTCCCGAGCAGGCCGGCAGCTCGCGGCCACTTCCCGGCCCGGCCCGGCGCGCGGAGGAGCGGAGCCAGGGGCCGGCGCTGGCTCGGGCTCTCTCCCCCGCGCGCCGGAGCCGGGGCCAGCCGCTCCAGCTGCAGCTTCAAGGGCCTACGTTTTGCCCGACCCCAGTTCCCCCTGGCGCCCCGCAACTTCGTTCCAGTCCGGCTCCGGGAAGCGAGCGCGCCCATCAGGTAAGGCGGGCTGTGCGTCCATGGCTCCAGCTCGGGCGGGCGTGTTTCCGAAAGTTGATTTGAAATGCATCCAAGAGTGAGCAGAGCCAGCCGCGGCTCCTCCCCGAGGCGACTTCTTTGCTCCCGCAGACATTCCCGGCACCGCCGACCCGCGGGAGGACCTCCCCGCGCGCCCCACGCGCCCACCCCCGCGCGCCCCCGGCAGACCTCCGAGCCCAGAGTCGGGAGCAGGCGGGACGCTGTCCTGGTCGCCCATTGAACCCCTACGCGGCCGGGGCAGGTGAGGGACGCGACGGGACGGGTCGGGGCGTGGACGGTAGACCCCGTAATCCAGCGTGCCTGACCGGGCCCATGCGGGAGAACCCCATTCTTTTATCCTTCACCTCACTCCAGTAGCTGGTTTCCCGCAGAGACGTCCCTGGGGCCCACTTTAGTGTAGGTTGGGGCGGAGTCGGACTACGATGGGAAACCTGGGGTTAGGGACGGGGTGAGGGGGTGGGGAGCGGGGAAGGAAGAAACGCAGTTGGGGGGCGGAGGCCGAAGTACATAACGCGGTGACTTCGGGTGAAATCAGATCAGTCGGAGCAATTCCCGGTGACTGGTCTGTCTTCCCCCAACCCGTACTTCTGACTGGACTTCCCCATCCAGCTCGTTCAGGTCGCCTCCCGTCTTTTCCCAGGAGTGCAGAGGCTGCGGGCGCGGCATCCCAGAGGCCACAGACGCCAGAAGCATCGTTTCCTATCCCCCACAGGTCCTCCCCGCCCGGCCTGAACATGCTGGACGGCCTGAAGATGGAGGAGAACTTCCAAAGCGCCATCGAGACCTCTGCCCCCTTCTCCTCGCTGCTGGGTGAGTATCTGGGCTCTGCACCCACGCACCCTTTTCGCCAGACCCCAGCTATGGAGCCCCGCGCGCCCTTACTCTGTAGCCACGGGGAGCAAACGCCGAAGCGCCCAGCTATTAAAACACAATTTAGTCCAACTGCTAGGCTATCTGTCAGTCCCCGTGGGCCCATCCTGCTTCAAACCAACAAGCTTTCCCTGGCCTCGCGCGCGCCGGGGCACCGAATTCCCTAAAGCCGTGAAGGGCAGGCGAGCCTGCTTGTCGGCGTCCGAGTGGCAAGTGATTAAAAATACCCTGGGCTGGATTTTTTAATCACAGTGCTGATCGACGTCTTCTAAATGCCTTCCTCCGCTCAGAGGCCTAGCATCTGAAACCTAAGGCCAGGAGCGCCCAAGTTCGCGGCGGCTTCTCGCCCCCCACCGAAACTCCAGCCCCAGTCTTAGCTTCGGGCACAGCCGAGAGGCTTTTCCGGGCCGGTGGGCAGCACCGCGCGGGGATTAGCTGGCGCGGCGGGGCCCTCCCCTCGACTTTAATTAACTGGAGCTGGATCTCGGTCCGGCGGGTTCTCCCCAACTCCTCATCCGCTACGCAGAGACAGCGGAGGGACCGCGAGCCAAGCACCTCGACGTACTGTTCACACGCGGGACTTAGAGTCGAAGCCCCTGTCTTCGGGGCTTGCAAGTTTGCGAAGAGAGTATTTTTTACTCTTTTAGGGGGAGGAAAATTTCGTTTTGTCTTTTAAACCTTTTGCATCTTACCCTCCAAACTCAGAACTGCTAGAACGGAGTGAAGGCAGAGGATGAGAGAGTTTCTCAGGAGAAACCATATCCACTCCACCCCCAGCTCCCTAGACAAAACGAAATCACGCTCTCAACATTGGCCTCTTTCAGTTTAACGTTGTGGAAGGTCGGGGCTGCAGACAGCCTGGGAAGAGCTTGTGGTCAGAGCTGCTACTGCCCTGGCGCCTAGCTCGCTAACTTCTGCGATCGACGGCACTTCGGCTCACTTTGTGTGCTACCCACTCTCCCCCCAAATCCACTGCTAGCGGCCAGGGCTTGGCGGTGGACACCGAGATAAGCCCAAAGAATAGAGAATTTTAACATTGAGAGCAACCGTGCTACTTTTTACTTGACACACCTGTTTGTGTCACCAAGCTACCAGCCCTCTCAGGAGCCAGGGGCCGGTTCTTCCAAAAGGGAAGCCCCAGGAATGTAGCAGGGAATGAAGAAGGGTCAGGCCCTTTGGGACACAACGCACAAGAGTATTGTTACCCGGGACAAGGACTTCTTTAAGTAGCTGTGAAATGTGCCCATAAAAACTGCCAAGCTTCCTCCCCTCTGCTCCCCTGAAGAAGCCCTCAAAAGCAAAGGAGCAAAACAGACAATTCAAGGGATAGGACAGTAGATTCCCTGTTTGTACCAAGTCGATTAGGGGTGGGTTTCGACCTCAAGCTGACTGTTGAGAGCCTAAGATTCCCGAAATGTTGGCCGGGGCACTTGGCTGCATCTCGGTGCGCTGCTCCCTCCTCCCTATTTCTTTTTATTTTGATGCTTCTTAACTATGAAAAACCCATCTGTAATTTGCACACCAGCCAAGAAGCAGCAGTTTGGGGTTCATTGGTTTGAACAATTGAATTTGCTTGGGGCGAGGCGGTCTTTATCTGTAAGCATGGGGCATTTTAGGAAAAGGATTTTTTTAAGTTTTCCTCTTAAAAAATAGAGCAGAATTTTATTTTTAACAGAAGAAGCAAACCAAATAATTTTTTTTACACACAGTTTAAAAAATAGTCAGTATAGAGACAAGCATAGTACATGATTTCATACACGATAAACCTGGGCACACACAAGTATTGGTGGTCTAATTTTACAGAACCAGCATCCTTTTAAGTACATACCTGTGTAGGTTTGATGCTGAAAGCCTACTTATTGATTTCCTCCCCTCCTCTGGTAGAATTTAAACTTCCCTACTTGCTGCCGGTTTATTAGAAACACACTTGGTTTGATTTGTCTCTGCATTCCAAATCTCAGCTTGATTAGCAAGGGGTGCCTGGGATCAGGGACTCAGGGGGAGGGGATCCGTGGGTGTGGAGTGATCAGAAGCAGGTATCGGTGGTTTTGGCTGGGATTCTGGGTCGGCACCCTCACCAAGAACATCTATTGCTGCTGTAGGCAGAGCGGTGAGCCCCAAGTCTGTCTGCGAGGGCTGTCAACGGGTCATCTCAGACAGGTTTCTGCTGCGGCTCAACGACAGCTTCTGGCATGAACAGTGCGTGCAGTGTGCCTCCTGCAAAGAGCCCCTGGAGACCACCTGCTTCTACCGGGACAAGAAGCTCTACTGCAAGTACGACTATGAGAAGTAAGTGTCTGTGCTGTCAGAGCGTGCCCCATGCACTGACATTAGGGCGCGTGAGATTTGTCTCCTTTACCCCATCTGCTTTTGGAAAGCGCAAGAAACACTTGCACACCCTGTGATGCAGAACGCTGTTTGCCGAACACCCCCGTGGTGCCAAAAATTTTCACTGTTGAGGGCAATCCCAAGACAAGTCCCACAAACCTCCAGCAGTGGCTCCCCATCAATCACCGTCTACTCGCAGGTTTCAATCTTCCCTGGCACCTACTCGGACTTGGCCACTGCCAGAGGACACTCATTTGTGGATGCGCTGATCCCATCAGGCTTGTTTCCCAGCACCAGGTCCCTCTCTTCTCTTCACTGTCCTTCCCATTCCCAGTTTCCTTAAGCTATGTGCAACACCCCAGTGCTTTAACCAGCATCGCAGCTGATTGACTGCATGGCTGTGATTCTTCGCTTCCCGTGGTGGGAATCTCAGGTGCTATCCTGCTTGACACTGCCCAGGGCAGTCTCAGTCTTGACAGACTGCACTCAGAAATGGTTCAGTGACAACCCCCCCCCCCC